ATCCGGCTATCGACCAAAAGGTGTGTGTACTGTTCATCATTTCTTTCTCTCCTCCTTTATGGCTGTGTGACCTGGCCATTGAGAGTGGAAGGCATGAAAAGATTAGCTGTCTTCGATCGTAGGTTTCTGCGTTCTATCTCCCGTGTGAAGTGGTGTAATAAGGTGAGCAATATTGAGGTTAGGCGTCTAGTGCTAGGTAAGGAGGCGAAATCAATCGACGAGGCTGTGAAATTACATCGACTGAGATAGTTAGGACATGTTTTACGCATACCTAGTCGTCGTCTTCCTCGATGGGCAGTGTTATTTGAATTAGGGTCAAGCTGGAAAAGAGCTAGTGGCGCTCAAACCAAAACATGTCCTCACTGGTCAATGAAATCTACAACAGTTAAACAGTTAGTTCAAGCCACGTAGGAAGGTGTAAACTTCCTGGTTGGGGTCCTCGGGACGGTAAAAACCAGTTGCTGTAGACAGTCGGTGATATGGCTTAAAATCGTTTTCAGTGGCTGGTGCAGATGCTTCCACTCCTTGTGACTTATAATTGCCAATGAAACTATATTGTTTTTTTATAACTATTCTTTTTGTCTCATATCCCTGTCTGCTGTCTCTATTTTGCATTTCTTTCACTTTCTTCTCTTGCTTTGTGTGCTACAAGGAGGGAGTGTGGTGACTTAAACTGCTACACATCTATGTTGTAAACAAACAGACACATATAGGAAACGTGACTCACATATTTTTCTTTTGATGAATCAGAAGTATTTGTCAAAAAAGTTCACTTAAAATGTTTATATTAAATGAAATTAGCAGTTCATCATTAAATTGTTTACGACATTTTATAACTGAATATAAGTTGGATATTTTTGCAGTTTTCAGTGAAACAGTATGAAAATTTAGTGAATTGTAGCTTGGTGAAACTATATAGATATAGCTATAGTTGATAATCAACTATGTTTGATGAAACAGCTTAACTTCATATTGCAGATTTATTCGGCAAATGACACAGTGGTAGTACAACAATATTCAATAAATAATACTGTACCACAGTTATGTTTACCGTATAACCTTCCGAACACAATTTATTGTTCATAATCATATCGATTGTAACTGTACAACTTCGGAACTCGATCTGTATAGTTCTTTTTCATTTTTTAAGGGTATTAGATTTTTCTAGAAGTCCGGGACAGAGTCTGAATCGTCCTTATTCCACGTATTCTCAGTTGCTTCGATAAATAAAACCTCAATTATCTATGTCTCCCTCCATCCTGTTATATTACATTTTAAGACTTACCTTGTCACATCTTAATGTTATGTATTCACTGTCTGTAACTGCATTTAGTGTTATAGCTACGCATTTCTCTAGATTTGTTAAAATTTTATAAGGATCTGCTATTCCATATTTCGTCAAGTTTTTGTGCTCCGCTGATCTAACTGATCCTGGCCACTACTTTGATGTGTGTTTCTGACCTTACAATCACTGCAGGGTACACTAGATAAACTAAATGATTTTGTCAAGTGAGTTCCCCGAACTTCTTTAACCGACGTAAATTTCTTTCTGAATGAGTTTATAGGTTTGTATGTCATTTTCACTTTTCCCTGCTAGGAATCCTACGTGACGTTTCAGAGGTTACCTGTTTATTTTATTTATTTTTGATTACAGCTTGATTCCACACCGTATTTTTGGTACAAGTATGGAATTTTCAGCGTGGATAGTGGTAGCCCAAATTTTACAGGCCGACCATAGATATCAGGTGTGCGTCGGCGAGGGCTCGAACTCCGGACCATGTGCATGGTCGGCGAGAGTGCTAACCACTAGTGATGTTTTAAATTCCATCTACCTGATGTTACCATCTTTCGGTCTACGTTTGTTATTTATGTCACTCATACTTCTCCTTTTGTTCGTATTCTTATAGTCTCTTACATACTTGCTGAATAATTTGTCCCAGTAATTATTAAGTGCTGAAGCTTCTATTATGGCTTACTTTCTGCCATAGATTTTCTTTTGCTTTACTTAGTTGCTTTTGCTTATTACTTAAACATTTCATCAATCTTATTTTTACTGATATGGAGTGGTGGAATGAACTGGAATTCAAATATCCGTTTGAATGTGTGGGTTTTCAGTGAGTACTTGGATTGAAATTTTCATCTGATTTCCTTTTTATAACGTAACTAAACGTTTGGAGCTTCCCTTCGTAACTTTCCAAATCAAGTAAACTGAATTGCGTCTGCTGTTAAATTTGTGTCTTAAAGGATTTATATCTTGTGTTTTCGATACTGCGAATGTGTCTTTCACATACTCTAGAGGTGGGAATGAACGTTTTAGTAGATAACTTTTCGCACCTATCGAAAAATATATCTGTCACAAATAGAGATATCAGTGACCATGTTTTTCTTTGAAGCTTATACACTGCGGAAGTCAGGCATAAATATGTTTATCACTAACCGCTTCTACAACTGTGTTTATTTGTATTCATGTGTATAGGCCGCTGATATCGAAACTAGTCATTTTTCTTCGTCATTTAATTGCAAATTATCCAATTTATGTTTGAGCTCATAAGGATTAGCAAGCCTAGATTTTGTACGGCTCGTAAGAGTACTTATTATCACGGACAAATATTTAAACAATTCATAAGTTGGATAATTTCGAAACTAAACTGCGGGTCCAGTGAGATATCTTAGTTTATGGAGTTTGACAGCCACATACATCCTACTGTGGTCATTAGTTCTGGACGTTAAACTAATCCATTTAGACCTACCTAGAAACGATTTCATTTAGTGTACGAGGTCCACTATGGGTTTCTTAACTGTATCCATGAGATTTTATTGGTTGCTTAATTTCTCCATTCCGTCCTGTTTGTATATGAGCACTAACCTTAACCAAGAAGTCTGATTTGTCTAATACCGCTGTGGAGTTGCCTTTATTTGGTTTATCAATTACTATATCCTTTTTATTCTAAAGGTTGCTTAAGCCTTTAACTTCTGGTTGCGTTCTATTTCCTTCTTTTCTGATGTTCTAGTGTTAGTGCACGTTTTTATCCCCCTTCATCTACAGTTGTATTATCTGTCGCATTCAATGCTGTTTCTATTTCCAGAATAACATTCTCGGGTTTCAGCTTATCTTCTGCTACACTAAAATTTAGTCCTTTTTCCAACACATTTGTTTCTGTAGAACTTAAGACCTTTGTTGAGATACTGATTACCCGCTTTAATTTTTCGGTCGTCTATGATGTCTTATTGCTGGTCTTATTGTTCTCAGATAGAGATATCCCCCTATTAATTTATCGCGTTTCTTGATCTGAGTATTCCTTGTAGAAATCAAAGACTTGTTGCGCTACGTCTGTTTGTGTTTCTTTGTGTTCCTTTCACGTCTCCCGTGTATCTCTACAACGCTGTATCATTTGCATTCTCTCTGGCATCAAATGTATCTCCTTGCTATTTGATGTTTTATGCTGATGAACACATATATACTATTGGTAAATCTTATCAGTAGCACGTGGCACAGTATGTAATTTTATCTTAGTTTGTTCATTGAATGTATCACACAGTAACAATACTGTCTCACTGTGATATACTCAACAAACAAATTAATATGGAATTACATTCTACCGCAGTGTCGAAGTTCTCTTCTTATTATAGGCAATAATTTCGCCACATAAATGCAGTATTCGTCATGGAATGACGGGCATATATAAAACTCACAGAAAAAAAACTATTTTTTGCTTAAAAGAGATTGCTATTTAATTGGTGGATGGTGACTAGCAGTGGAATCCAGGGTGAGCATTTCGTCCTATTTAGGACTCGTCATCTGGATGTACCTGCATTTCTCAGTGAGTGATGATGTTCCCACCGAGGCTCGAACCTAGTGCCCATAGTTTCCAACGCCGAAGCGTTATCCACTAGGCCACTTGGGCCACGAAATGCGCATCCTGGATTCCACTGCTAGTCGCCATCCACCAATTAAATACTAAATAAATGATCAGACATCGTGGAAGCATCTGCACAAGAAGCCGACATGTCAACCTGAGACCGAGCACTTCGGTCCAATCAATCGACGGGAAAATCTCAAATTCAATAAAATTTAAAGAGATTGTTTTTGAGCATTGCAGTTAAACGTTTATTAGTACTACTAGTTGATTAACAATCATTAAATTTTATCTAAAGTTTTTTTTACATAATTGGCAGTTTAATTACTAAGAAAACTTATCTAGCAGTCTTTTGCACTTCAGTTATTTTATCATAAAGCACTGCAGTGTAGTATGTTTATTTGTCGAAAAGTCTGCATGTATAGAAGGTCACCAACGGATTGACCTCATGTTTTGCTAGTTATCACTCTTTTACAACATAATCATGATTCATCCAATGTCGCTCACCGATGAGGGTATTAGTTTGGCATATGTAAGATTAGTCTCAGCCATCTTGCTGAGTAACGTCAATAGTTTCATATTAAAAAACCTTAATTAATTGCGCAGTTATGAACAATTGAATTGAGACTTTTGAGTGCATAATTGAGTCATTACTAGCTAAAAACTAAGAAGAGAGGAAAACTATCGGAAATCTGATGCATCAAAATATCGTCTTTGTGGCAATAATCCTACCTGTCTCAACCACATGTATGTGCATGTAGACCTCGTAATAGCTTTTATTTTTCCTCGGCTCATGTACCCTCTGTCAATGTTATGCACACTTGGTCAGCCATTGGGTCTCATAGCTCAGTTGGTTACATCAATGGCAGTCTGCCAACTCAAACATATCCTAGATAGTCTCACCGTAGATTTCATGAGTCTCAGTACTTCTTAATATCCTTTTTGTCAACAAGTTATCTGTGAGATATGGTAAGGAAGAGATTAAACACCTAGCCGAATTACTGCACAACAACGACAGCTGAGTTGCTGTGCTCTAAAAAATATCATGCCAAAAATATGCAAGCCGTTATTATTACAATAATATATGCGTGCTTTTGTCCTACCTACCCTAGCTGTATCACTTTGCTTTTTTACTAAAAACAGGTGGGTTCATCCGTCGTTTTAGACTTGGCGGAGAAGATAATGCAATTACTTATGTAAGTCCACTGCATATACCAAATTGTTATCTAACTTCACAGTATCTATCTAAGGTCTTATTTTTCTCGAATTTATTCGTATTTACGTTAAATGAGTACAAAAGAATGATCTCCCTCACAAAAGTACCAGTACATATCACAACTGTATCTAAAAAACCACGTAAAGAAAAATGAGTAATTTGTTCAAGATGTCTAGTGTATAACCAAAATGGTTCAGATTCTGTATTGTTTCACACACCAACAGTTTTTGAAAGCTCACAAATGTGCACTGAGTTATCGACAACATTCTGGTAATAGTACTCGACTTTTCAGAGCTAAGGAACTAAAGAGGCGTTCAAACACATAATCTTGTGAATTAGAAGTCTATTGTTCAGGCGAGTAAAATACATCTGCAAACAAGGTTTTTCTCACTTATATCTGACAGAAGAATTTCTTTAAATACATTATCCAATTGTCTCATGATTATATAAAAATGTAACTTAAATGATGTGGCCTTTTGCCTTCTCACTCCTTTACAAAAATATGCAGAGTACAGAAGTCTAATTGCATTTATAGCATATTCTACACTAGCAACATATGCGACACACAGTCCTGGTGTGGTAAGCAGAATATCTGTTTTCCAACTGATATAAGAAGAATACAGTTCAATGTCTAGTCTGTTAGGCTTTGTTAAAGCATAAATTTGTGGCCTAACGAAAGCTATTCGAAGGCCAACTGTGTTTCGTATGAACTGTCTGAAGTTACAGCACATATTTACTTCTAATGACCTCTGTTCTAGACTGAACGAGTCTAATTTGATCAGAAAAGGCATGAGTGCCTAAAGATAACGAAAATACTTGTTTTCGCAAAAAATACTAGCACTCTGTTATATTCTTTATCTGTGGGCTAGGTTTTCTATATCAGGAATCAAAGTCATTAGTTAGTCAGACACTGGATTTTTTCAATCTGTTGCATTTCTGTTCTCCTTTGGAAGAACTCCCAGTGTGGTGAGAGCAGGCTGCTAGCCGATTGGTTGACACTAAGCTACGTTAATATGGGCTGTGAGAAAATATGAACAAGGCTGAGTCAACAACCAATCACAGCAAAGTTAACGTGGCAAAATATGATTCGCAGATAGAGAACTCTATTTGTCAAGGAATCCCGAAACAACCAATCAGAAGCCTGCGTTTGTCTGCCTAACTTCTGATAAACAACCAATCAGATGACTGCGCTTGTCTATAATAATGTATGTGAAATATGTATAAATACGTGTTGATTTTCATAATAAAACGATCTGTTGCCTGGCCCTTGTCTTCTGTTGTTACACCAGTATGTTTACAAGTAGTAACTTTCAGCTAATAGATAGTGTTGCATAGCACAACTCTAGAAATGAAGTGATCATATCTTAGGCGACATTACACACAATAATGAAATTATACCTTGAATAGCATTATTCATTACCGGTGTCTGTGATTTTTTAACACTGAACAAGATTTAGCATGTTTGCTTCTGATCAGTTTCTGCTAGGACTGTGAAACCCTTTAGTTAAGTGCTTGTTCAAAAATGAATTGAACTTTCTTCTTACACATATGTTAAGTTTATTCACCTCAATATTGATTATTGATATAAGTATAAAACTTGGGCATTGTGCTAGAGTATAACTCCACTATAGGTAAGATTTTATTTTGATAAGTCACACAGTGTTACACAGTAATATTAACTGATGACGTTTAGAGCATAAGTTATTGCTCATAATCATATCAAGTTACTCATACAACAATATTGACTATTTTATTACTTAATTATTATTATTATATCCTTTAATTCCTAGAGGATCATGGGGCTTCAGCTGCGCGTCTCCATTGCCTTCTGTTTTCTGCCAACTTTTTCACTCCGCTCCAAGTCTGCCCACATGCTTTCATCTCCTCCTCACATGAACTCCTCCAAGTCACCCTTGGACGACCAACTCGCCGCTTCCCTTTCGAGTTCCACTCGAGGGCTTGTCTAATGATGTCACTTGATGGTTTCCTTAGTGTATGGCCGATCCATCTCCATTTCTTCCTGCCTATTTGTTTCACAGTCGGTCCCTGGTTGGTTCGCTCACTGTCAGACGTCCCTGTTGCTGATCTTTTCTGGCCGGTCATCTGATCTTGAGTATTGAGCGAAGACAACTGTTAATGAAGGTCTGTAGTTTGTGTTGAGACGCTCTTTATGACGCGCAGTGCAAGTCTCTGATCCGTATAGTAGCACTGACTTCACATTGGAATTGAATATCCGGATCTTATTTTTGATGCTGAGTGGGGCTGTTGACCTCGACACAAACTTGAGAGTAATGAAAGCTTGTCTTGCTTTTCCGATTCTGGCTTTGATATCCTCGTCAGTCCCGTCCGCCTGTAGTTGAAACGACGCTTCCCAGGTAGGTCAGTGGGTAAGGGAGGTTGTTTCTTTCAGGTTCCTCCCATTTATGCTGACTGTCGTCTGTTGTTGTTGCTGTTGGCCAGGAATCTTATTACTTAATAGCTATCTCAATTTCTACAACTTACTACCAATCGCTAACTAACTGACTAGTGAATTGTTATGTATTAAAATGTCACTGGTGTAGTATATTACGTATTGTTAAAAAACCATGTGTCTGTGGGTCTATAGCCGTTGGTGAGAAGCCAATCAATCAGGAATATTTTCGCATTCAATGTGTTGTTTTCTAAATGTGTATAAATCACTGCCTCAAACGTTGGTATTCACAGATATTACTAATCGAAAATAAGGATAGGTTTATTTGTTAGATCATGAACCCCACATTTTACGGTGACAAGCTTAGTGAATCTTATTTCTGTTTTATTCAAAATTTCAAATTAACTCATTTGCTTTATTCTTATTGCTTATAGGGCACATGTTTTCTTATTCTGGCATCCAGCATTTTCAGTTTGTCTACAAGTTTCTGCATGTTCTATATTGGACTAGCATCATATGCATTTGCTTCTTCCATTTTCTTCCCAAGCGTGAATGGCTTAGTTTCTCTGTACACCACTAGTGAACAACAAGTATGTTTATTACTATTTTCCTATTATATGTAAACGGTACGTTGTATACGTGTCCTAAAGAGACTAGTTTCAATGTATAGTTTTTAATTTAGAAAAGTTAATATCTAGCTACTTCATTTTAACCCGGAGACCGACTCAAGAGGTGATGTCGAAATTCAATGTTCCCTCTTAGGTGTCTAGTTGAATGTCATTCAATTAGTCCCCGTTTTAAGTTCCTTTGCCTCTTTTACAATCTGGGCAATCAAATGGTATCATAGCTTCCTTTACTTATGCGCGAAGAGACTATAGTATGTTGTTAAACATGTTTTATGTTAGCTGATGTCTGAAGTCACAAAGAAATCAGAAATTAGCTGTATTTTTAAATACATCATATCTGAAAGCTGCATATTCACACTGTCGTTATAAGTTTATAATCAGTTTCATAGACCCCTGAGCGGTGACCCTTATGTAACTCACTGACAGATAAATTTTAACCATATTTTGGCTTTGGAATCCACCAAAGACCAGCAAGCCAAGTATTAATATCAGTCATGAGAATTTGGAACGGATTTCTGATGTACTGGCCTACAGGTCACACTCATTGTGCAAGGGTTGTTACTATCAAGTTTGCTAGCGTAAAGCAGGGTGGGGCGCAATTTGAAACTTGGCCCCGTTGACTGAAAGTCGAGTGTGTAAAACAATAAACCAAACCAAAAACTTCTGTGCTGTGTATTATTTAGTCAAACAGTTTGTAAATGGTTTCTCAGCCACATAAATACATCTAAATTTGGTGCAAAACACCTGGTTGTCACTAGGATGATATCATAGGCCCTAGAGAATAAATTTTAAGTTACCGGATACATAATGGACCTGTTAAATATATGTTTGGATCCAATTTGCCTTTCGTTATGTCTTAATGTAGGTAAGAATACCACAGATGTAAAACGATGTGAAAGAAACAACAATGAAATCTGACTTCATGACTTTACACTGCTATCTTTCCCTGGTTAGGCCATTTGTAGATACGAAGTTAGCAGCGACTTTCACTGGTTTAATGATTTTTAAAAACTACCTTGAATAAGTACTATCAGGTGATTCCTACTATTCTGTTTGATTTTCAGGGACATACTTTGGGAATTTTTCGTTCATTGAATGCATTGGCTCGTGTACTTGGTGCAGCATTCGTGACCATTGCTTTTTGGATCTTTGGACCAAGTATCTGCTACCTGATTTGCGCCTTTTTCTTAGCTTTGTTGTTCATTTATAAGAAGACATTTTGGAAGATATATCCACTCGAACAAGAATACACAAAATTGAAGAAATGAGCTGATGATCTATTCCGTCTCTTTAATTCAACCCCAGTCTCTAAACTACTTACCTCACGTATTTCAGTACCCGTGTTTCTAATTGCTTTAAAACTTTGTGTACTTTAAGTTTAATCTTGAAGTTTCAGCCAACGAATTACATTCAGATGAAAAACTTTTCAAACAATGTATTTACCGATAAGACCATTTCTACAAAGTGACTCTTCCTATGAGTTCCTCGATTCATTTAAAGTTACCTTAATTATTCCGACTTCACTGGATTGGTTAGTTCAATGTACTGAATTCCTTGCAGTGTGACAAGTATCGCAGTATTCCACTAAATTGACAGATTCAGCGAAGAAAATTTTCTTTATCGACGAAATCATCTTCGGAGGTTATACAGTCGTATTTATACTTAGAAAAATGTATAGTGGTCTATTATTGAATAATAGGGCTGACATAATTGGTATAATTATTCATAAGTGGCTTTAGAAGTGAAAATTAAAAGTTGTAAATTACATGGTACTCAACCGCACAAAGATAGAAGTTTGATAAGGTTAAAATTGCTCTTGAGTGAGAATAAAGGTATTTGAGTGTCAATCTAACAAGTGTGAAGGGGGTGTGAAAATATACAAAAGGTGCATATGAGATTGACAATAGTGAATTAATTATTAAAGCAAAAGCAGACTAAAAGTAAAATTAAAAACAAAAGAAAAAATCAAAAATTTTTTTTACAGGGAACAATTAGTGAAGAGGTTAAGACCAAAGTAGAATAAGAGACTGGACAAACTTTTTCTGTATGCAGAGTTCAGGGTTGTATTGATGAATTGCCAGCGTCTCCGCCATACACAAAAGCCGAAACCTGACGCCCTTTGTACCACTTGACTTCACTTTGTAGATGACCTTGAAAGACGACTCTGCTGGTCTAAATCGTGAGTGCACAAATTTCCATAGCTGGGTCCCTTTGAGAAGAAAGAGAAATCTGTTCCATTCCTTATCCTCAAGAATAAGGGGGACATGTTCAAGTGATACAATCGATGGGAAACTGGAGCGACTCAGACAAGTTCTCATAGAGAATGGATATCCTCCAAGATTTATCGAGAAAAACATAAAGTTAAGAGAAAAGCCTGAAAGAATCCAGACGGTGCCGAGGAAACTGCGCTTTATGAGTGTTGAATTTAAAGGTGATACCGCAGCTGAGATCCTGAAGAATCGCTTATGCAGATCACTGAGGAAAGCCTTCTTTATGGCTGAGCTACGTATCAATTTCTGCAGCCGACAAATGGTCAACCGATGTGTGAAGGATAAACTGCCGCTTTGGGCCACCTCAGTGTGTGTTTATAAATTCACCTGCTCGTGTGGAGCTAGTTATATTGGCCGCACAAAGCACACGCTTTCCAAACGCATCTCTGAACATTGAAAACTATCCGGCAAAGGGACAATGCAAGACAATTACTAGCTCAATTCTCGAGCATTCGGTGAACTCAGGCCAAGTAGCTCCACCAGAGTCGTCTTTCAAGGTCATCTACAAAGTGAAGTCAAGTGGTACAAAGGGCGTCAGGTTTCGGCTTTTGTGTATGGCGGAGACGCTGGCAATTCATCAATACAACCCTGAACTCTGCATACAGAAAAAGTTTGTCCAGTCTCTTATTCTACTTTGGTCTTAACCTCTTCACTAATTGTTCCCTGTAAAAAAAATTTTTGATTTTTTCTTTTGTTTTTAATTTTACTTTTAGTCTGCTTTTGCTTTAATAATTAATTCACTATTGTCAATCTCATATGCACCTTTTGTATATTTTCACACCCCCTTCACACTTGTTAGATTGACACTCAAATACCTTTATTCTCACTCAAGAGCAATTTTAACCTTATCAAACTTCTATCTTTGTGCGGTTGAGTACCATGTAATTTACAACTTTTAATTTTCACTTCTAAAGCCACTTATGAATAATTATACCAATTATGTCAGCCCTATTATTCAATAATAGACCACTATACATTTTTCTAAGTATAAATACGACTGTATAACCTCCGAAGATGATTTCGTCGATAAAGAAAATTTTCTTCGCTGAATCTGTCTTTTATTTTCTTCATGACTCAATGGGTATTTTCGTTGATTCGACATAAATACATTTTCACGTCACTAAAACTCGACAAAAGCTGAAGCGAGATAGTTTTCGATGGATAACCCAAAGTTGTTTCAAATGTACAGGATACGGTCAAAGAAAGTGGTAACCTCAGAAACTAACATATATAAAGACCTCGATTTTCACTTTCGTGAGATGGTACAAGATTCGCGTTCTATGTATGCGGCTGTTTAAACTACTACTCTGTTGTCCATGACGGAGTATATGGTGCAGGATACGCGCCTGAGACTCTTTGGCTAGAGGTTCAGTACCTAAATCAATAAGCCACATGATTCTACACACGTTAGACTTCCAAAGAGAATCCAAAAACCGTGCGGGCATCTTGATGAGACTGCAGAAAATATTTTGTTTCCAGTTAAAGAATGAAAATTACAGGACACAGCAACGAGTTTGTTAGTTTCTAAGGTTCGAAACCATAACTGTGTAGCGAAAAACAAACTATAGTTCGAGATTAGTTTTTAAAAATCTTACAGCAATTCTTCTAAAGTACTTAAGTCCTTAGAACATTTTATTTGAAGCATTTTACTAAAAATCTAGACAAATAATTACTATTACAGACTTCGCTGCGAAGGATTATAGCATTCTGAAAGGGTAACGCCAAAGCTGAGGTAAAATATATCCCTTAACAAAAACCCAGTACCCTTAACTGTAGCTCTATAAGTGTTTCTTTAGAGTTGTAGAACAGAAGGTTGAACGCTCTAAAGAGTGACAGGCATTCAATTTCACACTCTTCAGCATACACAACTCACGAAATTAAGGGGATACAGAGTAATTCGATGAGTAATAAATACGTTCCGAATTTCGAAAATAAAGGACAAGTCCTTGAATAATTAACATACTATAAGTTACTATGAATGCTTTTGACTATGAGTGAACGAACTATTGAAAAGTACAAAGTTCTGAGTCCTTAATTTATACGATGTATTTATTCTACCACGTTCTTCAGTGAACAGACTATATTTAAAAACAGTAATTCATGTATGCAGGAACTGACTGCGCACAAAAATATATGTACTGATGCACACCAGATAGGTAGTATTAACATATAGTTTTGCATTCTCGTGCAGTGCATGTGCACATCGTGTAAGTATTAAAGGAAAAGATGGAAACAATATGACTATGGGACGTAGGGTACTATAAGACAATAAAGGAAGATATTCTAAGTATGGCCGGCATAAGAAATGGGTTCTTTCCAATTCATCTCTGAACCACATCACCTAATCTCCCTTGTTATTGTTCCAGGCGGCTTACCTTACAAGCACAACTCTTATCGATAGTTATTAAATTTTGAGTAACATTTTTGCTAGCGATATTCTCCTTTGTACTTTGATCAAAAAACATTCAATGCTAAAACAATTTTATTTTTTGTTCGTACCACTGGATTACTGTAACAGTGAAAGTCAAGTGTGCTGAATGTTATGAGACGGTGAAGCTTTCAGATCTTACCTTTTTAACTATCCAGTCCATATCTTGTATCGCTTTGGACATAATCTCATTTATGCGGCGTGGATCATTTTCATCTGCATGACTATTAAAATGCTAATTTACTGTCAGCAATATCGCTAGACGTACCTGTCTGATTTCGTGCTTATAGTGTCCTTGCATATGTGGTGGTAACAGTCGTATTTTTCTGAGAAGGTATGCATATAAATGCAGCGGTGTTGTAGGACATCGATTCATGCTCCTGTTTTCTCCGAGCTGCAGTGCGGTATTAGGAAGGTCTGAAATACACAATGAACGTAAATAAGTACTCATCACTCAAGGCTATTCTGACTGGATAAAATACCCAACTAGGGAAGTTAGTGATGGCTGATGTTTAGGTAAAATTCAGCGTTAAAACCTACTTTGTCCCACTTATTCTACGTGTTGAACGACTAATTTCCGACGCTAAAGCAAAGTCAACTTTCCTCACTTCTAAAGAATCCGAACGGAAGACATTCTACGTCTCGTCCAAATTTACTCGTATTCAAGGAAAAATTCTCTGGTTGAACTTTCTTTCCTGAGATATATATCTCAGGAAAATAATTTCCGAAGCTGACAATAATGCTGTTTAGTTCTAAGCGGATTCGTTGTGTTCTTAAGAGCATCTTTGTCAACTAATGCCTAAAATCTTACAAAGTACTACTTGGCGCAGAAAATCGTTTTACTTTGTCAACTATTCTTCCTTTGATCACCACACGCAAAGAATGTTCAGATTTCATTAGCATCATTTCCACATCGAAGCGTAGTATTTCGAAGTAAAAAGCAGGTCAAATTAAAGCGAGTATTAACCTAATAGTTCCTGGCGTCTCATTGGAGTTATACTGAGGGTGCTAAGTCTAGGTTAGGTGCTCTAATTAGAGCACTGGCACAATACCATGCACACTTAAAGGTTGTCAGTGTATATTCGGAAATACGGAATCGAAAGAAGTATAAAGGACTCAATAATTCAGGGTAATTATTCAGATTATCGCAACAGCCCACAACTTTTAAAACCTCACCATGTACGACAGCCTGCCAACGGACAGGACCTTGACAACTGAAACAGTACCTAGTGGATCCACCCAAGGTCATTCCAGAATTTCTAAAATCGAATTTAGGCATGACCTAACGCGAATCCTATAGTTTCCTCGAGCTCTCTTGTCGACCAAGTACATGGTCGGAGGTTCGATCCCCTGCCGACGCACACCTGATACCAATGGTCGGCTTGCAAACTTTGGGCTCCCGATATCCATGCTGAAAATTCCATACTTGTACCAAAAATACGGTGTGGAATCAAGCTGCAATCAAAAATAAAAATAAACATTTCAGTAAGGCTCCAGATCTTCGGAGGATTCCCTTGCAACTTTCTCCACGACTGCCAAAGAGGAGGCACATTGGTACATTTTAGACGTTGTGAATGGTTTGTACCTAGACACTGGCGCTGTTGACACCTATAAATGCTTTCATGTAGGCATTCAGATAGACAGAGAGTCTACAGAACCTCCAATATGCGAGCAGAAAGACTGAGAAATGGAGAGCAGAATGTTATTTTAACGCCTATCGATGCAATACCTGCGCGTATCCACCTCCACAAAAGATTCCTTTAATGACACAGGCATTACTTCATTTCAGAACGGCTCTCAAGCATTTAACACAACTCTACAGTAATGTGACTTGTCCATATATTCTGTAATTATTTGCCTCGTCCTATTTGATGTTCTGATTTGGTGGCAAGGGAAATTAAGATAGTTTTAAATGTTTCTCACATTGTGACTCAAGTTTTCGAGTGGGATATTATTAATTGAAGAGAATTGTCCTTTCTAATCTTTCCCCATGGGGTAAGTCAGGTACTGCAGTTTTGGCCGTCCTTCTAATTTTACTTACAGTTTGTGAGTCCCCTATACCTTGCGGGGAATTATTAGTTGTCACAACAGTAATGCAACAGTTCTCGCATATCATCGTCCAGAACCCTAAATACACTCGTTTAACTAGCACCAGAGATTATTAAGTAGACTAGATCATTATATTAGTTAGATTGATCAAAATGCGAAATACAAAATGGGATGACACTTTGGAGCAATAATGCTTGACTAATTGGGGATAATACATGAAGAGCCGAAGATGACTGCAAAGCATGTCAGACGGCGCAGGTACTACGCTGCTCACTTTAGACTGGCCTACATATTTAAAGTGAGCATTGAGGTTTGAGCAACAGACCTGTCAAAAGTTATAGGAAACTGCATAGCCTACAACATGTCACGCAAAAAATAATCTATATGTTGGCCAAACTGTTCTGAGTGTGAACGAAATCATATAATTGAAATTATGACCGCGAAAAATGCCACCACTCATTAAGTCTGCTTTTGTTATGAAGAATTCCCTAAATATTTACTGGATTATAAACACCTTTATTGCTGAACACTTCAAGGACTTATTTACCACCGGCACGAGAGGTCATTCGACCGCCTCCTCCATGTATGCCCGATTGATCTCCATTTTCTCCTACATATTTGATGGGCGATAGAATATTGGTCGACTTGTTTCCAGCCAGTGTTTATTGTCACAGTTTCATTCCGGTCATTCGATCTTGAAAATGGAGCAAACACAGCTGCTGATGAATGTCTGCAACCTCTTGTAAACACCTTTCGTCACACCCTGGTGAAGTTTCTGACACACATTGAAAGACCGAATCCAAATTGGAGTTGAAAACCCGCAACCTATTCACGTAGTTAAGCGCAGAAGATATTCAAACGGACTTCAGTCGGTGAAGTCGTATCTTACCTTTCTAATTCTGACCCACTTTGACATTCTCATCTGTTCCACCCGTACTTGAAATGATACCTTCTTGAAAAGTGAGGAAAGTAACCTCCGTCAAATCTCCCCCGTTAATGCTGATTGGTGGTGGTTGTTGATGCTGCTGTTGGTTGGTTATCCTCACCACCTCCATCTTCTCTATGTTCACCTGCATTGCTGTCTTCGCTCCCAGCCTCTTCAGCTAGCTTGTTGGTTTTCGCCCGTAAGTCCTCGAGTTTACGCGACATGTCAGCTGAGAAATCCAGATCTTGTAGGGTCTTGCAATCGGTGGTCCGGCGTACTCCTCTCTCCTCTTTCCCCACAGTTTGACGCATAATACAGTCCACTACACCTCGGAATATCATTGGTGATAATAGACAGCTCTGTCTTACTTCTGTATTCACTTATGATACCTCGCTGAGTGTCCCGTTGTGGATCACCTGTCGTGTGGCATTGTCATATAGCTGTTGAATGAGGTTAATGAAGAATTGAAGTACGCCTTAGTGTTCATGCAATTTCCAAATTACTTCTCGGTCAAGGCCTTCGAAGGCCCCTTCAAAGTCAGTGAAGATGGGATAGAGGTTTAACTGCCATTCTACACTTTGTTCGATGACGGTGCGTAGAGTTGCAATTCGATCAGCCCATGACTTGCCTTTACTGAAACCAGCTTGTTCTGGGCTGGCAGAGTTCTGTATCCAGTGCATCCTTTACTTTCTCCAGGATGATGAGACTTAGTATTTTACTTGGTGTGGACAAGAGCGTGATTCCACGCCAGTTCTTGCACGAGCCTAGATCACCCTTCTTTAGCAGCTTGACAAGGTAGTCTTTCTTCCAATCGGTAGGTACCTTTCCTTCCTTCCAAATCTTTTGCAACAACTGGCGTGAGAACATACGCCGCAGTGTCTGGATCCATCCTCAGTGCTTCGCAGTAGGGGAATTCCACCCAGTTCTGCTGCCTTTCCGGACTTCAGTAGCTTGACCGCATTCAGATTCCTGCTTTTGTCGGAGGATTGATGTCCACTGGCAGGCAGTACTGCATGTGCCATTGGTGGTATCACTGGGCGAGTTGTAGGTGATAGTCGATTCAAGAGTCCTTAAAGTGATCAGCCCATTGATTGATTTATTTCTCCTCCTTGGTAATCTGGTTTTCTTGAGCATCTTTTGTTGGTTTCATCATCTGGGTTGATCTCTTTCCAGATAGGGACCTGGTTATTTGACGCAATGTCTTCAGATCTCTTTCACCTGCGGCTTGTTCTGCTTCAGTTGCCAGTGTATCGTAGAATTGTCTTTTGTCTTTCCTAGCACTCTTCTTTACTGCTTTATTAAGTGCAGTGTACATTCAACTCAGCTTCTCCTCTTGTTGCCCACCTCTGCATTCAGTCAACTTCTCTTTCACCACCACCCCTCCTCAATCAGCTTGCCGGTAGATGTCCGTCGAGCCATTCCTGGTCTTGTCTCTTCTTTCTTCCTAGAACAGCTGTACACGTTTACTTGAACATCATCTTCGGAGTTTCAATGTTTTCCACGCAGGCTTCCTCACTGGTAACACGTAGTTCCTCCGACTTTGCTCCCATCTGATCTGTAGTGAGGCTTTCCCTTGTGGTTTTGTCCACCAGTTTCTGAAATTTGAGCTTGAATTACAATGACCTGTCTCCAGTTCTCTTAGAGGATTCAGCTTTACCTTGAAGGTAGGTTCCTTGAACTAGGTGATGGTCTGAGCCCACATCTTCTCCTCCCTTCGACTTTGTGTCCACCACACCAGCTGCGTCTCCACTTCTTTGTGCAGCACTGAAACCAAATCTGCCCGGTTCGTGGTGTGTCCGTCAGACGAAATCCATGCTGCTCTGTGTACATCCTTGTGTTGGCACACGCTGCCTCCGATCACCGAATCATTGAAAGCGCAGAAGTCTGAGAATACTTCTCCGTTCTCATTCATTTCTCCGAACGATAGCCTCTCGACCCATGATGAGTTCTCTCCCTGAATTATCTGGTCCCAGTTTGGCGTTCACATCGCCGATGAGGATTTCGATGTCACCATTTGGGACGTTGTCCATTACTGTTTGTGATCGTCTATAAATATTCTTCATCTTGTCTCGTTCCGCATTGTTTGTAGGTGAGCAGAATTGGATAATTGTGACCCTCCTTCCCTATGAGTTGAATCTCGTTGTCATGATCCCCAATGAAATTGGTTCCCTTATAGACAAGATTTTATTTTGATAAGTCAAGTGTTACACAGTAATATTGGCTGATGACGTTTCGAGCACAAATTATTGCTCATAATCATGTCAAGCAAATCACACACCTTATTCCTTCATTTATATACATGTGTGGAATTGACCGGATATTTGAATAAAACGTTTCATGCTTGTATCGAAGTTGGTTCCTGTCGCCTTCAGAAACTGTCCGCCAACTCTCAGTAATTGTCAATGTCCAGCTCTTACTATGCTGGACCTCAGGGTGTCCATTGAAGACTTTCAGAAACACTTTGTATTAAGCAACTCGAAAACCAGAACACTGATTGGCGACTCAAGAATCCTTTATTCTTACGCCAACATGTCACCAGCAATAAGGTTATTACACAAGGTCTAAGAATAAGTGTTATAACAATAAATCACGACAATACTTTTGATAGTTTTTTCTCTTCCATCGAACAGCCACCATGATTCGATGTCCGCGCTATCGTTGACTCTTGAGAAAAATATGGAGGAGTTGGGCTTGGGCAAACAACCATGAATTGATCATTCAATCTTCAACTACATTGACACTACATTGACGTCACGTCCAATACTCATCGACTTGGATTCCATTGCGAGAGCCTTGGTCACCAGGACAGAGCTGAAATGGAAAACACACATAAAAGCCAACACATCACAGACATCCTCACAGCACAATCTCACACATCGATGACGACCTACGCCTTCCAGTTAAAGGCATGCTCTTGATATCTTGCAACACCATCGCCACTTGCTAGAATGACTCCTGCAGAACGCAACGTGACCACAGCAGCACCTCATGATATTCTTCGCACATCCTCTTATCCATTCACTACCAATTACCACTGTGATCGCTTGTCACTCATTCTGCCTCAGTTCTAGTAACGGTGACGTATGCAAGCCTCAGTCGTCTACACCGTTTCTCCCCAGCGTGTGGGACCGCAGCTGACAATTATCTCCGTGTGCATGCTATTCTCAGCACAAGCCTCCCCGGCGTATACCACCCATCTGCTGTCTTTAACATCAATCAATTCATTCACGGATGTAGAAGACTAGGAACAACTTCAGAAGTAATCACGACGAAAATTTTATCAAAATTATAAAATACAGCAAAGT